TAGCTGCAGTGTAAAGACAGGTGGTCTATATTGGATATTAAACATGCACAAATGTGTGTGAGGAAGTGTCTGCAATAGGGATCGGTTAGGTGCCGTAGTAGATGTTCTCAGAAACCAGTAGTCAGATAGTCTTTCACCGTTCAGTTATTACCTTTTCTCTCCAATGTGTGGCAGCCGAATCGATTCAATCAGAATCGAGTCTTTAATGGTACTGTTGTTGATCAAAGATTACAAAACCCTATGGAAGACAATGGACAACATACTGTCCGTTGAGATAATTAATTGGCGCGCTATTTGAGGTAATGTCGCTGCTCGGGGGATGATTAAAATCAGCGTCGCTCGCTGGTGATCCTTTCCTGAATAATAGGAGCACTCACAATTTTAACATATCACTGATGCTTATCCGGAATTCACATATCCAGACATACTCATGACCCATCCTTCTGTCCCAACACTTCAAATAGGCGAGAGCAAAACTACTCAATCTACTGTCCTTTCTAAATTTTGGGGTTTTCAGGTGATATCTGTTGTAGGAAGAGCGTACAAAATGGGGCGGAGGATGGTTTTCGGGTTTTTCTATGATCAAAAGAACGAAGTGTATAGCTTCAGCAAAATCAGAAATCGATTTGCTGATTCCAGTTTTCGTTCGAATACACACACACGCACGCACACACACACACACACACACACACACATATATATATATATATATCTTACTTATTATAAAACCCAGATTGTGTGTGTGTGTGTGTGTGTGTGTGTGTCTGTACGTTTATATATTGGATCGGATTTCCTACATTTTTTAACCGATTTCAACAAAACTTCACAGGACTACGTAAAATTACCTTGCGGTGGTTCTGACAGGGCCAAAAATTGGATAAACACAATTGTTTTTGCACGAAACACGATAAAACACGATTCTGTCGCCAGAATGAAAGGGGGACAACTCATATCGAGTTAAACTTATAAAACCCAGGTTGTGTTTGTGTGTGTGTGTGTGTGTGTGTGTGTGTGTGTGTGTGTGTGTGTGTTCGTGTTCGTTTATATATGGGATCGGATTTCCTACATTTTTCAACCGATTTCAACAAAACTTCACTTTTTTTGGCAGGTAGTGTTTCTTATTGTCTTACACACTTTTTTTCTTTATTTTTACATTCAGAATACCTTAAAAATTCCATTTACAAGACAATTGTTTATAAAATTCTATTCAATCGATAGACTCATAACGATTGAAAACAATGTTTTTGTTTGAGTTTGGGTTTGACCAATTCGTAAAAAAAAAACAAAAAAAAAAAAAAAGGAAAAAAACAACTAATTCAGACATGCGTGTCCGTCAACCTTAAACAATAATCTTTGTCAATTTTATTTTGCAGTCTTTATGATGGTCGATGCTTTATCTATCGCTTACTGCTACATCCCCGGGCAACGCCGGGCCCTACTGCTAGTATATATATATATATATATATATATATATATATATATATATATATATATATATATATCGGATAGCCGAGTTCGATTTCCAGTCGGGTCCATTATAGTTACTTACGTGCTAGGAATCTTGACAAAGGTATTAATCCTCTACTTCTCCATCCAGCTATGGGTAAATATCAGGACAGACTGGGTTCTATAGCCTTGGATGGCAACTGGTCTAAAAGGAGGACAAGTCGGAATTCAAAACCTGCTGATGGTCGTTTGTGGACATTGTGGCACGTAGTACACCAGGTCACTGTATTCAGCTCTTATTTGCACAAAACCTTCACCACTATAATCAAATCATATCTGCTGGTGTCTGATTGTCAATTCCTAGGAACTCTGCTGATTGACCATCATACGCCGAATACGACATGGGAGTTCACCATATATATATATATATATATATATATATATATATATAGTTTTAAGATATGATATATTTATGATAAAAGTGCTCAATATCAAAGATAGGACCTATGTGAAGGATGGCCTGAAGATTGCGTTCAAGCATTAAACACACTTCCGCAGGTTGCTTTTGACCTCTGCGTCCATATATATATATATATATATATATATATATATATATATATAAAGTAAAGGTAATATATCCGTTGGTATATAATCCAAGTGAATCCTAATAATATAAAATATTAAAGCTGATCCACAGAAAGAGCTCAATGTATTTATTATTACAGAGCAAATAAAATCCAAAATTACCTCATATGGGGAAAATGCTTATTTCAACTGACGATAACTTCGTCAGTCTTATTCAACCCCGGTATATAGACTGATTTCGTGTCGGAATTAGAAATTTAACTGTGACAGATACAAAAAAATACGTCGAAAAACTAATCCAGAATTTATCTATTTCAATGTTTCAGTCAGACGAAAGGCATGAGACAGTAGTCAGGGGAGAGTAGAAGGTATTAGTCTTAAACGGAAGAGGTTTTATAAAATTAAAACCGGATATTAACCATATGATATTAAATTAAGGTTATATGAAAAATATGTTCGGTACGTCGACGTGATGTAATTATTTTTTATCTCGCTAGATCAGTTACGACTGAGTACTGAGTTAGATCCTGACTGGGTTACCCTTAATTTCGGCTTTGATCCACAACCATGATTAGTAAATCGCTATACAATATTTTTTTTAACCAATACTGACATCTTGGTTGTTACATTTCCAGTGTCCAGTGCTGTTGTACCCGCTGGAATCATTCAGGTGTCTGTTAGTGTTGTTAAACTCCCGAGAATTTTAAACTAAAAAGGGTTATTCAGTAAAATGGTGTATTTATGTTCTGGTGGGCCTTCCTCTCTGCTACTACGAATTTACATGTTTAAACGCTATACTTTTGCGTTGTAAGTCAAGTTCCTATACAACTTTAAATAACAGCGATATAATACAGTATAATCATCATTATTTTTGATCACCTGTTTCCAACGGCATGTCATGGATACCCCAGTTGTAACATTCAGTTCCATATTCTAGTTCATTACAAGATGCAAGAAGCTATATAACAAAAACGTATTAACTCAGAAAAGTATTGATACTAAATATCTTCTATCATGAACAGCAAAATGAGTACAAAGTACCATCGTAAACTAAAGCAAACGTTTGGTCTGAATATTATAGAATAAATAGAGTTCAGTGAATGAAAATTTTGATACATTTCTTTCATAATTCCTACCAAGTGTCATTGATTACATTAAAAGGACAATACAAAATTATCACTTCACGACCTTTTCTCTATAAACACGGGTTGTACTAATGTTATCCCAGAGATATACATTTCTGTCAGTTAAAATCTGTTGAACCCATCATTTTTCTTGTTTTTCGATGTTTCGCTAAACATTTCGACATTTAAAAAGTTGGGATGGTACACCAGATATTGTGTACAAGTTCTTACTGCAGACGGAATGCCTAGACATGATGTCGACGATTGTATATACGAACATTATGGATATATTCCTTTGCCGTCGAAGGTGTAAAGATTCCGATTGTCAATAGAATACTGAAAAAATGCCGGTGTAAATAATAACACATTTAATATCTATTCTCTCTGTTTTAACGAAGCTATTGAAACAATGATCCATTAATGATGATTTAACTCTTTATTCGATCTCTTCAGGGGTCAATGAATTTATACAGTTAAAACAGTTCAGTACCGGTTATTCGATCCGGTTGTGCAACAAACACGACGCCGGGAAAACGCAGGAAAATGATATATGCTCTAAAATTAAATGTCCACCTTTGACATGTATGCGAGGACTAAAGTTTATAAATCTAGTAGTCTATTACAGCTAATAAAAACGGGAAAATTATTAGAATATGTAAGGATTTTTCTGCGCTAAACCTGTCATGTCATGCAATTCATTGACATTTATACATATACTCATGAGTTTTTCTATGATTCAGTAGGTCTTTAGTACAGTTTACGACAAATATTTGCAACTATTTTTCTAATTATCTGTCTATATCTCTGAGATGAAGTATTATGATTACTTGTATTATTTACATTATTCGGACTGTTATCCTCATCTCCATTGTCATATTCACGACGTTTCGGCCGTTGTACGCTCCAGCCTTCTTCAGGTGACTGGACTTTCGAACCGAACTCTTCATTTCGTCCACCGTGGTAGATTGTTATTGCTCCCCATGCAATGCCTCTTCCGGATGTCTCATTTATTTTCCTTTAATCCAGCTCTCCAAGTCTTCATACGTTGGCTAGATCCAGTGACTAGACCCAAAGAGTTGTGAGATCAATACCAGTGGTAAACCAAGACTTAGAGAGTTGAGTTAAACGGAAATAACTGAGACATCCGGAAGAGTCATGGCAAGTGGAACGAGGAACAATCTACCCCGGTGAGAGAAATAAAGTGTTCGGTTCGAAATGCCAATCACCTAAGATGAAATAACAGTCCAAGTAATGTAAATAATGCTAGTATTTTTCTCATATACAGAAGTATCTAAATCAATAAATATACCAATATAAGTATCGGATATGTGGCTGAGTGGTTAGAATGTTCGCTTTCTAATTATTTTCCGACAATAAGATACGGTTTCGGATCTCACCAGGGTTACGTCTTGATGTTATCAGGCCGGAGAGTTAACACCAAAGTGCCTGAATCTCATACCACAGGTCGACCTAAGCCTCGTGTGTGAAATTAGGTAGATGGAGCTATTTGATGACCGCAGATGGTTGTGCTGGCACGAAGTAAGCAGTCATCGTGACCGAGCGTTTGAGCCTACTGGTTTTATTCAGACTGCTGATAATGTGCTCCTAGAAACTGTAACGAAGGTCCTCTAACCATAGTATAGACCGCAGGTGAGATCTGTGGATGTGCCAGAGCGGGCGTCTGCAACAGGGAGTTAACTAACCTAGTACACAGCTATACATGAATATGAGCGACCAGACTTTAATATGGATTTTAATTAAGTTTAATTTAATTAATGTGGATTTTACAAGGCCAAAAATACACGAACTATAATGAAATAAAATCAATTATGACGCCAAATTGAA